AAATCATGTTAATTGTGGGACAATATAGTATTTAGGCAAATTTTACTGTACACTACAATAAATTTTACTGTAAAATACTTATTGTAGTGCACAGTAAAATTTGCATAAATACTATATTGTCCCATAATTAACATAATTTGGTAGGGTAAATTAAAAAAAATTCTCGCCGTGTACATATATATTTTTCCTGTTATAATCAAAATTCTCTTTATCGATATTGACGCATTTTTTCTTTCTTGATTGTCAAGTACAAGTAATATCGAAGTAATGAAAAATTTTATAAAATATGTCACTGCTTCTTGTTAACAGTTGCTAGTTCCGGGACCGGAAGCCATCATCCTGGCACACCCGGTGGAGGCGCCGTGTTTCCGGGGACCATCCAGGGCAGCATCGGCGATTTTTCTGGGACCGGCCTGGTCTTCCCGTGGGCGACCAACGCGCGCGGAAAGCCACGCCGGGGGATGATGAGGAGAGCCGTTTTCTCGGATCTTCAGCGACGCGGACTAGAGAAGAGGTTCCAGATACAAAAGTACATCAGCAAGCCGGATCGCAAGAAGCTCGCTGAAAAACTCGGTCTCAAGGACTCACAGGTAAGCACGGGATGCATCACGTATAATTGTGGTTTGAAGAAATTTTTTTGCAGTGAAATACTCGAGAGACGGAACACATTTTCAATATTCATCGAGTATAATTTTTACGTTCGAAATAATCGAAAATAATAATTGAAATATATTATCGCATCGCGTTGCTCGACCTGCTCTATTATTCGTATTTGCAGTGCCGGCAATTTAATCGCGAAAACCGATTTTAATCACGGTTTAATTTGTACATTTTTACGTACGCAATTTCGACAGATTTACAATTGCAGCGGGAGAGATGCAATTATTTACCTTCTTTTCGCGCGCGCCGACGCGCGGTTTTCCCGTGCGCGCAAATCAATTGCATATCAATTATAGCGCGCATCGAAGCGCATAATTCGATTCCTTGTGATCCAGAATCCTCGCTCTCGATAATCGTATCAGGCATGTCATATGCAGGCAGATTTGCATACGCGATGATAGGCGGATGTGCTCGCGTTGTATTACAATCGAGAGGCTGCGCCGTGAGCATTAGAGACGGCACACGGTGTTTAATCCCGTGCTTAATGATCTCCTCGGCGCAATAGTAGTTCAAGCTAATCCGCGCAAACGTGCTAATCTAAACCGTAATTAAACCAGGAAATCCGCTAGCTTTGACGAAAAGATGATGATTTTATCATTAACATCGCCAATAGACTCCCTAGACTGCCGCGTCAATAAATTACGTTTATTATTAGTTTTCTCCTTTACGTCCTCATGATTTTCATATAATTATTTTATTTTACGCTTGATTTTTCGTGATCGGTTCTACATTAAAGTATATCATTTGTATAAATAATTTTTGAGGAATTTGATACAGAAATGATAACAATTCATTTATTGATAGAATCAATATAGATACAATCGCATTTATTCTAATTTACTCGCATCGTAGTTTTTATCAACCCTTATACCCATCTCATCACGATCTTTGCGAGTGTTTTAAATCCGATTATATAGATTTCGCTTGACTTCCGGGTAATTAGGTCGACGAGGAGTCTCTTGAAAGGAAATAGTGATTCTCGGAATGACTCCCGGCGCGAGAGATAATCGTACCCGGGTTCCCGATAACGGGCCGGCATAATCGGGCAGTTAGGCGCGTGCAAGACGCGAGAAGGTGGTACGCGGCGAATATATATATAATGCTTAATGACGTTATTAGGGCACTAATTGTCGCTCTAACGAAGTACGAGTTCCTCGGCGCCGAGCGAATTCAGTCTCGCTACGGAGAGATGCCGCCGCCACCGTCGACTCTCTCTCTCTCTCTCTC